GGTCAACGAGTCGCTCGTTGACTTCGCCTACGCCAGTTACCACGTCGACTGGGCCACCTACGAGTGGTTCAGTTTCTACGAGATTTTCGCGCACAGGGCCAACGAGTCGATCGTTGACATCGTCTACGCCAGGGACCTCGTCGACTGGGACAACCACGAGTGTTTCAGTTTCTACGAGATGTTCGGCGGCACTCACGGCTGGGGCATCTACGGGTGGGCCAGTTAAAGCCGCTTCCCTTGATCATTTCCTTGCCGAGGGGGTACCCAAACAGTCGCGCGCGGACCCGCCGCCCGAGCGACGAGTCGCCGACCGACGAGTTCCGCGAGTCTGCGCGCGAGGAGCCCTCACCCCCCCCCCCCCCCCTCCCCCCCCCCCTCCCCCCACCCCCCCCCCCCCCCCCCCCCATCAAAACCCCACCCCCAACCCACCCCCCTTCATCATTTGCTCTACCAAGGCCCCCCCCCAAAAAAAAAAAAAAAACAAAAAAAAAGCTCGGGATAAGCAGGGGGGCAAGAGGCCCGATTGAAAAAGGCAAGGTCAGTCATTTGCAATCTCTCAAGCTGCTCACGTCCAACGGGTCAAGATGGGCGTCAGAATCTAGGGGCCGAGAAAAGCTTCGAGTCACTGCAGAAGAAGCTCCCAGGCTTCAATGACCTGGTCAGGGAGACGGATGTCGACATTTCTTGCTTGCAAGAACACGGGTTATCTGGTGAGCTGTATCGTCGCACGCGTGCCAGACTGCAGAGTGAAGGATGGAGGGTGTTCGGCTGCGAATGCATCACCGCGGACGCTGGAAATGCTTCGGGCGGAACCCTCATCATCGCGAGAAAGCACTTGGACTCCTGGATTCCCCCGCAACCGACGGCGACTATCTTCGGGGGAAGAGTTTCTCGTAATTTTTGTTCGCGGCGCAGGGTGCTGGCCGCTGGCTCTTTACTCGGCGCACCTGAAAGATTCGATCGGCATGGCGGGCGCGAATCTGCGAGTGATGAATGCTGTTTGAAGTGGTTGCTTTGCTCATGGGCTTCCGATCGCTCTAGCAGGTGACTTTCATGCGCATCCGTCAGCACTTGCAGCAGCCTCACCTCTGGCGCAGGTCAGTGCAGTGATGCGGGCGCCCGCTGCCCCCACGCATGTTGCGCCTGGCTCGTCCCCCTTCCTCGATCACTTCGTCATCAGCCGCATCTTAAACCACGCCTCGGAGGATGTTGCCGCGGACCTCAGCGCCCCGTTCAGCCCCCGCAGGCCCGCCACTTTCAATATTAAGCAGACCTGCCAGGACATGTTGGTTCGGGCCCCCATGGCGTTCCAGAAGATCCCAGATGAACCAGCGATGGGCCCCAGAGTTGCCCCCCCCCCCCCCCCCCCCCCCCCCCCCCCCCCCTGAGCATCGCGGCCCGGGGGGCAAGCTTCGGGGTTTCTTGGGGCCACGAGTCAATGAAAATGGGTCTGGGTGCATGATCCGGGGAACAGACCGCGAGTCTGGCGTCGCCCCATTGGCAGAAGTGCTCAATGTCTGGAGGGGGCGGGCCTGGGAGGAGCTCAAGCAGATTGCCCAAGTCCAGTGCCCCAGAGGCCAGTCTGGAGGCGCCAAGATCGAATTCCAGGAGGTCCCCGCGCGGGCTCTTTTTGCCACCGAGCAGTTTACCAGCGCGTTTCCTGGCCGAGCTATCCAATGTGCGTTTCTTCTGTTCGAAGAATTGAGGGCTGTTTTTGAGGGCGAGAAGGACAGAGGCAGCCATCTTCCCTTACTCCTGCGACAGTGGGCCAGGCCCCCTATGCGAGGAGGACCTTCTAGGCGCTACTGGCGGCAAGGCGGCGTTTTCGTGGCATCCGTTTCTGGCATCTGTTGCTGGCGAGCCATTGGTCCCAGGGCCGACGTCTGAGCATGTCAAAACGATTGATTTGCGTCTGCCGCTCGTGGAAGTGCTTCTGCAAGTGGGGCAGCTGGAAGATCGCAGCAGGGCTAGACCTTCATGGCAGGATTGGCGCGGTGCAGCAGCCAGCAACGGAGGTCGCCAGACAGTTGGACCCCTTCGTTCAGGCGAACCGCTCCGAGAAGAGGTCGCTGCGAGCGGGGCCAGCTTTTCCAGCTCTCCCCATGCGCGCCTCGATGCCGAGACCAAGCTTCGGAAGGAAGATTGGGCAGCAGCTGGATCAAGCCATGCGCGCCCTCCTCTTGACCTGCCTGCAGCGGCGGTTCCTGTCCCAGGGCCTGTGCCATCAGAGCGTCTGAGACATATCGGTTCACGTGTTGGCAAGTGATTGTCCCGGCGGTTTCCATCCACGGCACTTTGCCATGCTCAGTCTTGAATCGTTGGGAGTGGCTTCCTGGCTGCATCACTTCATAGATGTGGTGGGACAGACGCCGTCTTCGGCGCAGCAGCTGGCTGTCTTCCTCATGGGGCGACCCGACAAAGGACGGGCACCCATAGGCCACTATAGCGCGTTCGAGAGGCTCCACGGGAAGACCCACAGGGACCCCTGCAGGCGCTGGGAACAGGCGGTTGGTCTCGGGCCAGAGTTTTCCGCGGGGCAGGGCCGCAGCTGCTTGGACATCGTTTGGAGGCAAGGTGATAAAGCTGAATTGGCGTCGGGGGCAAAAATCCATTACGGAACTCTCCTTTGGGACCTTCTCCAGTTCTACGAGCATATCGGTCACCGGGGGTTGGCCAGGCACGGGATCGCGTGCCTCTTCCCCCCTTCACGTCTTAGTGTGCACTGTTTCCACGTACAGGTGGACAATATACCTTCTACTTGACGGGGCTTATTCAGATGGAATCAGACCCGCCCAAGGTATCGTTGCTGGAAGCACCTCAGCGACATACGAAACAAAAGCGTTGACGTGACCATCGGTTCAGATGTCCACAGGCACCCCAGAGACAGGGCCAGGTCTGCACATAGACGAGATCTCGTTCCATGCGCGGCACATCGGCGCGAAGTTGCGAGTGGCCAACCTCAGGGCTTTGACAATGACCATGGCCTACTTCATCTCCACCACCCTTCGCGAGCCGTTGGCTGAGAAGAAAATGATGGCGGCGGCGAACTCCACGAGGCCCATGAAGGACATTCGAGAGACTCTGGGATCTCTAAGTGGTACTCAGTCGCATGCTCCTGGGAATG